AATTGTTTGCATTTAGTTTTGAAAGATGGTTAATTTTCTTTAAAGAACATTAAATATATATATATATATTCATATAGATTTATATGTTAAACATATGTCTCTCAATATTTTAGAGATATATATTTAGGTATATGTAAATATGAAGTGCATATATGTGTGTGTGTGTGTGTGTGTGTGTGTGTGTCTGTGTGTGTGTATATATATATATATATGTCCCCTCATATCTTTCCATCCAGCTCTGTTACATGGAATTTGGAATTCAGAATTGCACTCTGGGATTTATCAATTAATATATAGCAGAGTAACAACATTTGAATGAGTATCGGCTACTTGGGCAAAAGTGCAGAAGCTTAAGTTTAAAGATGCATAAAAGGAGCTGTGGATCATTTCATTAGAACCACCACAGGCCCTAAGCATCACTTTAGGGTACAGATATGACAAAGAGGAAGGTAAAAATTGGAGAGAAATAGTGGTAAAAAATGAAATAGCTCAACAAAATATTACAAAATATTTTTACCACCTCTTTATCACTCATCTCTGCAGAATAAATAATGGTCAAATATTTACTCTTAACCTCATACATGTTTATCTCTTGTGCTTGCAAACTGTATAAGCTCTCATCTGGTTCCAGGACATTTAGTTGGGTTAAGTGCATGAGACTAAAACCTTTGCATTCTGACACTGGAGACCTTCTGGGATGATGACCGGGTCCCTGCCAAACTTGCAGCATGAGTGTGTGTTAGATGATAAGAGCCACTCGCCTTCACACAGATGAGTCAACTTCTTTCTGCTTCAGTTTTAAAATATGAAAGGGAAAATAGAGATGATTAAATGTATGAAGCAAGTCTAGGTTATTAAATTAAAAGACTAGAGGAACAAAAGCAGGTAAATAATAGATACACAGATGATAGATCAACAGATAGATGGATCAAAATCAACTCTGATTTTTTTAATACAGCAGTTTAGGATATATAACATTTTTAAAAGAATTATTAAGCAATCTCAAATAGAGAGACTACACTATTGATAGATCAATAGCAAAATCCTCGGAAAAAAATGATCAGACATTTCTTAAAGTGCACAAGAAAATTACACACTATAAGAAATTAAAATACAATAAGTTATAAGAAATTATTCAAAATATAAGATAAAAATCCAAGACTGTGAATGAGGTGATTAAGTTATTGCCAGTTTCACCTTGGAACACAGTCTTCTTAACTGTAGAAGCTATATCACTGAAAGCCATTGTTTAAACAGCACCATAAAGTTAGAATTGGGTGACAACTTCTTACAACCTTCAAAGAGGCTTTACAGAGAATTAAACAGCTTAAAGTGAACCTTTCAAGAAAGGGAGTAAAACATTACAGCGTGTGATCATGCAATATAATTCCCCAATAGTTGAGAAGAAAACAAAGTAACTAGAAGGAAGAACTAACAGAGGAGCACATTTAAATACACAGTAGCACTATTTCAGATCAATGACAATATGTAAATAATCTTAAATATTTTTACAGGATAAATTGTTTTGACAAAATCAGAAAAGGACAATTTAAGTAACAACACTACCAAAAATATCAAGTCAATAATAAACACTATTCTATTATCTTCAGCTTGTTTCGTCATTAATTGGGTAGCAGAAAATAACACAGCAATTGCTCCCATATTCCATAGAAGACAGCCAAAATTCATTCAGTAAGAATGCAGACCCTTTTTCATTGCAGCATTATTCACTAAAGCCAATATATGGAAACAATCTGTATGTTCATCAGCAAACAAATCACTAAAGAAAATGTTTTTTAAATATAATGAAATAATAGTGGCCAGGCACGGTAGTTCACATCTGTAATCCTAACACTTTAGGAGGCCAAGGTGGGTGGATCACTTGAGCTCAGATACGAAACTGAGTAACATGGCAAAACCCTGTCTCTACATAAAATGTAAAAATTAGCCAAGCATGGTGGTGTGCGCCTGTAGTCCCAGTTAACTGAGAGGCTGAGGCAAGGCAGGAGGATCACTCGAACCCAGGAGGCAAAGGTTGCAGAGAGTTGAGATTGCGCCACTGCATTCCAGCCTGTGAAACAGAACAAGACCCTGTCTCAAAAGAAGAGTAAAAGAAAGAAATGTTACTTAGCTTTAAAAAAGGAGATTCTGCCATTTCCGACAATGTGGGTGGGTATAAAGGGCATTATCCTAATAGTAATAAGACAGGCGCAGAAATAAAACTATTGCATAATCCCAATAATATGCAGAATAAGGGGGGGGGGAAGCTCAAATATACAAAGACAGAACATAAAATGATAGTTACCATGAGTGGCAGGAAAGGTTTTGGAGGAGAAATGGGGAGTTGTAGGTCATAGTACACGCAATAGTAGCTATGCAGGGTAAGCGGCTTTAAAGATGTAAAGTACAACACGAAAACTGAAGTAAATAAAATTGTATTGTTTCATGGATTTTTGTTAAAAAGTAGATCTAACTGCTCTTGGCCCAAAAAAGTAAGTATGTGAGATAATAGATGTCTTTTGAATCATTAAAAAATTGTTTTGGGACTTTACGATCAATGTAATTGTAGTATGTATGCAAATTCTAACATGAAGAAGGATATGGACATAAAAATATGGCATTATGCACCATTTAATCCAGACACATGAATAATTGCATAAATGTTAATTGAGTAAAGACTCCAGTTTAAAATTAGGGATTCCCAGAAAGAATAAAAGAGTCTACACATAGTGATATTGTGTCTTTAAGAGAAACACATGGCTCAGACATGCTAGAAGTAAAAGATTGGAAGAAGATAAATCATTCAATCAGGAAGAGTAAGCAGTCAAGAATGGCTGTAATAATATCAGGGAAAATACGTGTCATAACTAATACTATTACTAGATATAGAAAGGGTCATCTCATAATAAAATAGGACATTCGCTGAGTAGATATAACAATAATAAATGTGTCTGCACATAACAGAACTTAAAAATACATAAAGAAGAATGAATAGAATTAAAAGAAAAAATAAACAATAAACAGACAAGATTTTAAAATCCTTTGCTAGGAATAAATAAACTAGAAAAAATAATTGGAAAGAACAAAGAGACCTAAGTGCATTATTAACTATCATTACTAAATTATATCTATGGAATTCGTCACCAAAAGCTGTCAGATTGTGCATTATTTTTAATGTACACTGTATATATTTTGGACTAAGGTAATATGAATTTTCATATTTTTAATAAGTTATTAAAATATTAAAGTTATACAGAATATATTCTGTAACTATAATAAATTGAAATTAAATTTGGAAATTGAACAGCATACTTCAAAATAATTCATGAATTAAAGAACTCCCAAAAAGTTAGAAAATAATTTGAAGCACATTAAATAAGAATGCAATACTGCATATCACGATTAAGAGAGACAATTAATGCAGTGTTTTGAAGAAAGCTGATAGTCTTAAATTCTTATTGCAGGAAAGAAGAAAGATCTAATATTTCAGAAAGTAGGAATGAGAAATGAGTTCTTAAGAAATTAAGAAAGATATTAAATTCTTACAGTAGGAAGGGAGAAAGATTTAAAATTCAGGAAGTAGAAATGAGAAATGAGTTCCTAATTTAAGATGTTAAGAAAGAAAAGATAAAGTTAAAACCAAAATATTAGAAAGCAGGTTATAATACAGGTAAAAGCAGAAATCTTTGAAAAAGAGAATGAACATGGAAGGAAATCAATGACTTTAAAAGCTGATTCCTTGAAAACATAAACAAAATAAATAAGCTTCTAACTAGACTGATAAGGATAAAAGAGAGACCCTCCTTTGGCAATAAGATGGCAATGTTATTAACAGTTTTTTTCTTTTTTTTAAATTGTATTTTCTGTTCTGGGGTACATGTGCAGATCTTGCAGGATTGTTGCATAGGTACACACATGCCATGGTGGTTTGCTGTCTCCATCTGCCTGTCGCCTACATCAGGCATTTCTCCCAGTGTTATCTAGAGGAGGAACAGTTTTTTTTCCATTTTTTAAAAGTGTGAGACAGGTTCTTACTCTGTTGTGCAAGCCGGAGTGCAGTGGTGTGATCATAATTCACTATAGCCTCGAATCCCTGGGCTCAGCGGATCCTTCTGCCTCAGCCTCCGCAGTAGCTGAGTTTAGACAGGACCCATCACACCTGATCTGATAGCTTACAATTTAAAGAATGCTTCCACAAGGAACAATGAAGGCCATTACAGTTTAGTATTCAAGTTCCACATTTTTTGTCCTTTTCTTAAGACAGAGTCTCACTCTGTCACTCAGGCTGGAGTGCAGCAGTGTGATCTCAGCTCACTGCAGCCTCCACCTCCCAGGTTCAAGTGATTCTCCTGTCTCAGCCTCCCAAGTAGCGGGAACTACAAACACACGCCACCACATCGGGTTAATTTTTCATATTTTTAGTGGAGATGGGATTTCACCATATTGGCCAAGCTGGTCTCAAACTCCTGACCTTGTGATCTGCCTGCCTTGACCTCCCAAAGTTCTGGGATTACAGGTGTGAGCCACCACTCCTGGCCTCAAATCCAACAATTTTTTAAGGAAGAAATAATACTAACATTACTCACATGCTTTCAGGAATTACAGAAGAAAGAGTACTTGTCAACTTATTTTCTGAATTTCATGCAATTCTCTTTCCAAAGCTGACAGTGTTCCCCCATGAAAACTGCAGCTTTAGACTTAATATTAAAAAAATACAATTCTGTATTTTTTAAATAGTATATTCCGTAATTCTTCTTAAATAATTAATTACTTCTTTATACAGATATAAGGATACAACAAGGAATATGATAGCAACTATTAGTTGATTGTTTACTATATCATTAATTTTTAATTGCTTGTTTATAACAACCTTTCTATATTTATATTTTCTAAAATTTTGAATGTAGTTACTTTCTAGTAACCATATTTGAAATTTCATAATCTTCCATGTTTAAGCACCTACTAGACAATTTTTATTACAATGATTTTTTTTCAAGTGATTTCTTATCAATGTCTGCTTGATTCTCAATTTGTACTATTTCTTTGACCTCAAATACTGGCCTCAGTGGAATACAACTTCTTTGATTCCCTAGCATTATTTTACTGTCTTTGTTACAAGTTCAAGAGTGTTCGCTTAGCCATGGAAGCTCAGTTCATCCTTGCTAGTGGGTCACATTCTACGTGGTTTCCAGAATGGGGCTCAGCTTTGTTTTCACATCTTTTCCAAACAAACCAGAGACTTGGTCCTAAACTTCAGTCATTGCATGCTACTGTCCGCTACTTGTTGTTTTCAATTCTTGCTGCATGTCTGAAAACATCATCAAAAACTTTTGTGAACTACAGGGCTTCGGCAAAAATTTTTCTTCATTATTACATATTGGCCTCTCTTGTCCAGAGCATTCCTGATGTTTTGGTCTGGGAACTTCAGCTTTAACTTCAAAAGGAGTATAGATCTAGTTACATATTCTTGGGATCTTCCCATTTCACTATAATTGAACCCTTTAAAATTGAAGTCTTGAAGTACAACTTCAATAATGATGTGAAGAGTTATTCTGAAAATTTGACAAAATGAAAGGCGGTTGATTATAAGTGATAACCATGTTAGATTTGAGAACAGTTAGGGACGCTCAAAAATAGCTATCCCAGAGTGATTATAATCATCTTGGACTTGCTTCCTTCATATAATATTCATATTTTATTTCTTTCATTTTGACTTACGTATTCTTATTTCCATGAGTTCAGTGATTCATTTTTCACCACTATCCAGGTCTCTATTTGCATAGGAAATTTATTGATTACACTTTAGTCCCTGGGGTTTACAAATGCAATGTGGAGTCTTAAAATTAAATATGCTTTTTTATTATGTACAAATCCATATTTCCAGTTTTAATATTTTAATATAGCAATTTTTAAAATTTTAATATAACCAGTTAAACAAAGAAAGCTATCTATACTAAAAATAATAAGATTAAGGACTTAAAGCTCCAGCTTTTTATTACCATGTTTTACAGCTCTCAACCACATCAGCAACTGCTTTTAAATTATTTCTTTGAACCCTACTATCTCTTCAAATTCAACACACACAAAACTCATGTTTCATATTTACTATATTTCCATTTCACGATATGAACACTTTCTAAACATTTCTAATTCTCTGTGTAACAATGACATATTCTGGTAAGAATATTTGTAAAACTATCTTTTGTTTTGTTAGGCAATAAGTTTTATATATATATATATTTTTAAGAGATGAAATAAATATTAAAATTGATGAACAAAAAACAGATTTAAAGAGTAAAGCATGTATCTGTCATTTGTTTTTTCCTTTAATCGTCATTCAAGAATATATTTGAAGTGCCTGTGCAGTCCTAGATACACAGCGTGAGAATACAGCAATAATCAGAATAGATAATTACTTGGCCTAGTATGGACAGAGATAGTCAATATACAAAAATGTAAATGTATAACATGTCAGCAGCCTGCAATAAAGACCCTGGATTAACCCTTAGTGTAACAAAATGACAACTGTTTATTTCAGTAAAGGAGCATTCATTTTAAGTCATAAAGATTTAATCTTAGCTTTTGGCCTGTGTAAGAAAAAATAAGAAAATGGAACAATTTAAACTAGCACTTTTAGAATTATGTAACTTAAATATCAATAACAAGCTAAAATAGTCTAGATTGAGGCTACAATAGTATCTGTCAGTTCCTTGCTTTTACTACAAGATGAGATTTCGAAAAGTGCACAGATGTACACTCTACAGGACTGTCTATTGGAACATTGCCAAAATTGCAGGAAAATAGCAAATGAAAATTTTAGCCATTGATTGTATTTTTACTCTGTGACTTCACAGTGTCTGAACAATTCAAATCAACATTTAACTGTCTTTTACAAAGGGTTGTGAAATCTGAGTATTATTTTGTTTTCATTTATTTTGTTATAAGAAAAGCTGAACAAAGGAAAACAAAAATCAGATCATTCCGTATCTACCTTGCCAAGAATATGTGTGGTCAGGTGACTGTATGATAAATATAGATGTTTTATAAAAGTACACTGCTCGTGCAACCTTTTACATTAGTTAGCAGAGACAGTTAGCTTTTGCCATTTTTTCTTAAATTTCTCCATTTTGGAACATATCTTTAATGCATTTTTGCATAAATAGTAATTAAGTATATACTTTTTTTTTCAAAAAGTATTGTCTTTCAAACTAAAACAAATCTTTCATCTTCTTAAAGAAAAATAATATGAAAAATATAAATAGACAGATTGTATTTTTTTATGTTCCTCATGAAACATAAAGGCAAGGATAAACAAAACAAAACAGAAGTCTTTGAGTCCAGGCTCACCCAAGGTGCTATGAACCTGGATGTGTGAAACAAAGTTGGTAAGAGACAACTTGCCCTCGAGGGTGTTGGTACTAGGTGGTGGGCCTTTGGGAGGTGATTAGGTCATTAGAGCTCTCCTACCTCATGGATGTGCAAATATTTTTCCCTTCTGCCATGTGAGGATGCAACAGAAGGTGCCATCTTTGAAGCAGAGAAAGCCTCCTTTGCCAGACACTGAATTTGCCAGCACCTTGATCTTGGACTTCCCAGCCTCCAGAACATGAAAAATAATTTGTCGTTCTTTCTTTTTATTATTATTATTATACTTAGGTTCTGGGATACATGTGCAGAACGTGCGGGTTTGTTACATAGGCATACACGTGCCATGGTGGTTTGCTGCACTCATCAACCCATCATCTACGTTAGGTAATTCTCCTAATGCTATCCATCCCCTAGACCTCCACCCCATAACAGGCCCTGGTGTGTGATGTTCCTCTCCCTGTATCCATGTTTTCTCATTGTTCAACTCCCACTTACGAGTGAGAACAGGAGGTGTTTGGTTTTCTGTTCCTGTGTTAGTTTGCTGAGAATTATGCTTTCCAGCTTCAACCATGTCCCAGCAAAGGACATATTAACAACGTATTAACCAGTCTGAGGTATTTTGTTATAGCAGCCAAATGGACTAAGACTCAAGGTAAACGTGTTATAAACATGCCTTTACCTCCTTTATTACATCTAGTAACTGGTGGAATAACTTATCTCTAGTCTATCAACCTAATCTTTAGTTCTTACGTGGAAATAAAATATTGTAAAGTATTTACTATTTCAAATGAAGAGGCATATTTGCATTTTAAGAAATGTCATATTTATTATTTTATAAGTTTGAAAGTCAAATATCCTGAAATTCATTTGTGTTATTCTGTAATTATTTGTATTATTTTAGTTCTAACTCTGTAACTACTTTGTTAGCTCAGAATCATAAAGTTTACAAATTAGAATAAACCTGTGTTCGTACATTGCCTGATGAATTCAGAAGTCTTTTAAAAATGTACACTCTTATTATGTATAACTATGCTTATTGCATTTGAGCTTTTTTGAACTCTTGAATGAAAGCTTCCGTCAAAATAGATCATATTTATCCAAAATGCAGAGATTTGACTTTAAAATAATATTTATAGCAAAGAGGAGTCCCTAGATGAATCGAGAGAGAGATATGATAAGGTATAAATGACAGGAAAGCATGAATATTTTTATGGCATAATTTTCAAAAGACAGGAAAGTCAAAGAAATGATTAGAATACTGAAAATGGAGTGACAAGATTTTTCTAAATGACAGTAAACAGGCAAGTCAAAAAATAAGCCAGAATATTCTCTTTCGGAATGGAGTCGAAAAATTGTATTTTATGAGGAGTGGTATATTAAAAACATAAGTGAATAGACAAAGTGGTGACAAATGATATTTATATGATTATTTAAAAATAATATTGCATGATATAAGAACAAATTCTGAGGTTTTTAAAATAATGCAAATACTATATTTACATTTTTAAAAGTTAAAGACAAAGAGAAGTAACTTTTAAGACAACTAGTTTTCATCGAATAGGTAATTTTTTTAAATATATAACGAAAAACTTCCATGTATGGACAAATACATATATTTACATATATTTTCTTATTTTAGTGAGATTCATGTAACATATAATTAGCCATTGTAAAGTGTACAATTCTGTGCCATTCAATTCAGTCACAATAGTTTGCAACTACCACCTTTCTCTAGTTTAAAAACATTTTCAACCCAGAAAAATCATTCTGTACTATGAAGTAATTACTCCAAATTCCAACCTCCCTCATTCTATGGCAAACATTAATCTTTTTTTCTTTTCTATGGATTTGCTTATTATGAGTATACCATATGAATTAAATCATATGATACTTACTTTTTACCCCTTAGCTTCAGAATAAACAAATGGTCATTTAAACCAAAGTGGGATCAGAAAATTTAAAGAAAATATTGAGTAAGTCTCCAGGCAATAATAACCAGAGTAAATTTTTGGTGCCGTCAATTTCATTGTGTAATTAACTCATTTTTATTTTTGAATGATCAGTGTGATTTCCTAACAATCAGTAAATTTGTCGCAAACTGAATTTAAATAAACTATGTAGGAATCATAAAGCGTGAAAGCGTATGACGACAGACCAGGGCCAGTTTGGCAATTTCTCAACATGTTTATGCAGAATTTTGGAATAATATATTGAAAGTACCTGTTAAACTATTTAAAAATTATAATAATACAAGAAATTAAGGTTGTTTGGGGTTAACTGATGTTATTTTGCACATAAACATCAATTTTCCTCTCACAGAACCACAAAAGGAGTATCTGTTGTGAACAAATCTTAAGACACAAATATTTCTGTACAAATTATCAAATGCAAAACCAAAAAAAATTCCTATCTTATTTTAAGCTGAGACCAGCTCTGAGCATTTACTTATGAAATAAGAACAAACAACCTTAGAGTTCTGATCACAAATCCCTGAAATTACAGTGGTTTATCTGTGTTCTTTCTATAAGGTTTCTAGTATTTCAATGCACAGCTGGCTTGCAAATAATTTTCCAAGCTGCTACTCTGTATTGAGTTTTTAAAGGGACAACAAGACTTTCTTATCATGTTGAGCATTAAATCTCAGAGTTACATTAGTATTACCACATAAAAATGGGTGTAGAATTTAAAAATTGATTTCATACACTGATTAATTATAATAGCATTCCTGTCAAATCTGAACCTCATGAAAATATAGGTATACTAAAATGTCCTTTTGTATATCTATAAAAAAATAAAAGATATAAAATGTCCTTTGTATATCCATAAAACAAAAGCTGAATGAATGAATGCATAAATGGGTGAATGTGTCAAGTAGGAATCTCAGAGGCCACCTTAAGTTTTCCAGTTTAGAAGATACAAAGCTATTATTATTGCTGCGGCTACATGCCCACATACATGACAATATCTTTTTAAAGAAAATATATTTTTTCTAAAACAATGGACTTGTTTGACTAGCAAGCTCTTATTTTTCAACATATTTAAATTTGCATTTAATCTTTAATAAATTTTTTCATTCTCCTCAATAGATAATGAATATCCCATCCTTTGGGCTTCATTTTATCCATCCAAACTGTCTCCATTCACAGATCTGTTAATACTATATTCTATTTATGATTGAAATCTGTGTCTTTGAATATAATCCTCCCGTGCTCTTGACTACACAAAGAGAGGCACAGGCATGATATTTGCTGCTTTCACCCCAGGGATTTGCCCAGCAAGTGGCACATAACTGGTACTCTTTATGTGTCTGTCATATTGATCACAATATGTGATGAATGAATAGATGGGCATAGTAGAGACAATGTTATGTTGTGAAGTTCTGCATGCTTGATAAGAGTTTCTAGCATTAAAACAATTTCTAGTGTTTTACAAGAACTTTCATCTTTTTTATGTCACTGACACATCTTTGTGTCATTATTCTGAATTCCTAGAAAAGTTTACTGGTGATCTTCCTTCTATTATCTTTTTGAGAAAACCGAGGGGATTTTCTGGTCATGCCTCCAATGGCCAAACACTTTCAGATGTGAAGTCTTTGGGGTATGCTGTATCACCTATCCAGACCCCCATCACTGGGCTGTGCACCTATCCCCTAGATGTTGTGCAGGTTGGCTACTAGAGCATATGGATATTCCTTTTCTAAAGACTCACTATGGGGTTGGGATAACCTACCCTGAGTAGTTATCTACCCTAGTCCTCATTTAAGCGTTCAATACTCAATGACTGACTGACAGGAGTTAAAGTACCTACTTTGTCTCAAAGTGTGAAGACCCTGTGCTGACACCTCCTTGTGGGACCAGAGTGATATTACCCTCCAGACAAGACAAATCTTTACTTGGCTTTGTTACCCTGTACTGCTCTGTCATGTCTTTTAGCCCAGACATCTTTCCCTTACTAGATCACTTTCACAATACTCCCCAAGACACTACTCCTAAGGAATCTGATGTGAGACCATTGAAATCTCAAATAGTTCTAGGATCAAACTCAAACAATGAGATTGCTCTGGAAGTGGGTCATTCTCCAGCTAGATTGTCATCGGTAGTGGGTAGAATATGGCTAGTCTTATGATTTGTAGAAGTACAGTTTTCATCTGTGGTGACCTGGAATGGCATGGAAGTATAAAGAGATACTCTTTAAAAGGACTTGTGCATTATCTCTTGTGTTGGAGGAGTATAGAAGGAAGAGCAACTGTAAGGATTGTGGAATTGTGTCCCTTTTAATGACTTTTGATAAGTGACACTGATGCATTTAAGAGATAAAATGTCAGACTCAGATGAGTAAGTCAGCAAATTAAAGCAAAGTGTAAGTGCCACAACTCTTCTGGGTCAGCATTTAAGGACATTCATTTCCTGCAGCTGGAGAGTCAACTGAACTGAAAGCTACATATATAATGTAATTGTTAAGAATGGCAGAATTTCCAAAAGGGTTGAAATCACAGGCTAAGAAATGTTCTTATGTCAAAGTCAGGGCCATTATAGGGGAATAGTGGGAGGCTAACATTCGTGATGGAGGCATGTATAGAACTTTTTAAAAGGAAATTAAATCCCCAGAATCTCTTGGATTCTCCAAGCCTGTTGAACTGGCTCTTTCCTTTTTGCTGAAAGATGGAGACATTTTTTTTTTCTTTTTTAATTTGAAGATCATAAGGATAACTCAAATAAAGCTGGTGGCTTATAACAATGAGAATCTTCCTTAGGATCTGCTCCCATATCCTCTCCTAGTCGTCAGATCTGGAATGGTGGGGTTGGGGAGCCAAATCTCAGCATCACCTTCCTTGGGAAGCGCTGGGAATGCTAACATGAGAAGATCCTCAGGCAATGTATCCGCAGGACCCAGCTCAAATATTTCAGGAATGTTTGCCTTGGGGAGATCCTAAAGGCTTGAGTTGTTATAAAATTGCTTTTGCTTTGGAGCGCTGTCTTGTAACACAAGATTTAACTCCTTAGCAAGGGTCCAGGGAGATGAGTGTTTGGAATCTTAGTAATAGCAAAGGTTCACATTGCATGAAAGCCAGCACTGTGGTGGCTGACTGCCATGAGAAGGGAAAAAGCTAAAAGAAGTGGGCATGCTAGCATTTAACTATTAATATTCAATTTTTGTTAGTATATCAAAATGCAAATTAAAATGGCAATGGCTTTAATAAACGAACTGCTTCTAAATAGATGGAGATTTGTGAATATACCTATTAAATTGTAGTACTTATTCAACATAATTAATTAACTTTTATACTATTGTATTGTTTGTTAATAAAATGACCATGAAAACATTGTTTTGCCCGTGGAAATCAGAGCTATAACTAGCTAAGTATAAATAATGTCACTAGATAGCTATGTTTATGAATAATTGGTTGAAGTGTCCGTTTTTTAGTGATCACCCATTATTACTTGTTACCTTAAGTACAAAGGACTGTTGTCTTTTTATTTAAAGTTTTACCAGAAATGTTATCTATTTCTCCTTACATAATTATTATTCATGAATTAGAAACCTTCTAATTTCTAATTGAAATAAGTATTAAAGAATTAGAAAATAGAAGTGTTTGCTTTTTGTTTGGTTTTCCTTATCATCAATTTTGCAAATTAGTCAGTGTGAGGTTAAAAGAATAAGATTAGGTAATGGAGAATGAAAGGCAAATAGAACTAACTTTATTTGACCCTTCTTATGACAAATACCTTCAGATTTGCATTTTTAAAATTTTATTACATATGTATTAATATATTACACATATACATACATATATAGATGCACACGTTAGTAGCAAAATCAATATTCAGCCATTTTCTTCCAGTTAATATCTAACAGGTAAGTTAGAATGACCATGTTTCAGTGAAAATGTATGCAAGCCTAATGCTACCCTTTATATTATATATATAAATACATAAAACCATTGATTTTTATATAAAACAGTTTATTTTTGCCAAGAAATATGTATTGTAATCAGATGACACTTCCTGAAAGGAAAATCTAATTGATCTCAACAGTATTTACCATAAAGTATATTTATCATTCAAAAAGTTTTGACTGGGCCAGGTGGCTCATACCTGTAAGCCCAGCACTTTGGGAGGGTGAGGCGGGTGGATCACCTGAGGTCAGGAGTTCCAGACTAGCCTGGAGAGCATGGTGAAACACTGCCTCTATTAAAAATACAAAAAAAAAAAAAATAGCTGGTGTGGTGGTGGGCACCTGTAATCTCAGCTACTTGGGAGGCTGAGGCAGAGAATTGCTTGAACCTGTGAGGCAGAGGTTGCAGTGAGCTGAGATCACACCACTGTACTCCAGTCTGGGCAACAGAGTGAGACTCTGTCTCAAAAAAATTTTTTTCTAATAATTTCAGAAACTATTTTCTGAACTAGAATAATACAGGCTAAGGTTGTAAGTAATTGTTTTAGTTCTACTTTTATTTTTCTTGTATGCTCAATTAGCTTATCTGAAAAAAATCAGTGTTCTTCAGTGAAATTTTAATGAGACAAATGTTGACGGTCTTTTCCAAAGAGACCAATAATTTCCATGGGATAGTGTTTGAAAATCTAACCTCTTTAAGATTGAGGATAAATATTTGCAAATACAGGATTAAAAAAAAAGACTGTGATGGTGAAATCTCTTCAAAGACCTTTAGTAATGCTGAGTTAGTAGTAAAAATCTTTGAGAAGCACAGTTTTCTAGCATATTCAATGCACTCACAGTCTGAGAGGCCAGTAGATGTCTAGTAATCATCTATATAATGACATTAAACTGTTATTTTGATTTCATGATTATTTTTCTTGCCACCCATGTCGCACAGCAGGCTGTTTTAATATTTAAACTGAATACCTTTCCTTTGTGTCCACCTGGATCAGAGGTTGACAAACCATAACATGTGGGCCAGATCAAACCCACCACCTGTTTTCGTAGATGGTTGCTTTGGAAAATAACCACACTCATTCATTTATCACTGCCTATGGCCGCTTTCATGCTGCAATGACAGAGCTGAGTAGTTTCATCAGAAGCCATATGTCCTGCAAAGCCCAAAATATGTATTACTTTTTCTATCACAGAGGAAGTTTCTTAACCCATGTATGATAGTTAATAAACATAATGTTGAAGATAAATAATAAACATATAACTAAAATTAAAGATCTTACCTTTCAATGCTTCTCGCAGTTCCATGAAAAGCAGCAAAAACTTTACACTGGCTTATTGACTTATTTTAAAGTATTTTGTTATTTTAAAAGTGAGAAACTTTTTAAAAAATGGATTATGACTTTTTTCCCTGTGGGTTAATAAATTGGTTGTAATATTTTATTGTTTTTTACTCAAATTATAAGGCAGTCCACTAAACATTTAGTACAAGACAAAAATAATCATTAGTCTTATAAAAATATATAGAAGTCATCCTATTCATCTCACTTGAAAGTTTATGAGAAAGATTAAATATCACAGTTAAGTAATGAATAATATTGAAATAACTAATTTGACAAACATTACCTTGTTGACAGCCTGCTTTTTATACAGGAATTAATTCATTTGGGAAGTTTAAAGTGGACATGGGAAGACCTGGACAGAAAAATAGTTAACACTTACGAAGACAGAGTTTTCAGTGTGTATTTAACATTATGTTGTGCTATTTATAGTAATACTTGTTACTTAATGCTATAAACTTGCAAAACAAAATGTCTTCTCTCATTTCTACAAGCAATACTGAGTTAGAAAAAAAAAAAGAGAAATATATTTTTTCACCCTATTCTCTATCTAATTTGCATTATTTTCATCTATACAGTAAATTCATTTAGTTCTTTAGTTAATATATGTGCTAAAGAATAATTTTCTTATGCATAATTTGAAATGACATCCAGAATCAAACAATTTAATTCATTATTATTAATGAAAGCTCCTCATGCCCAAAGATGAGTTTTTTTAGCCACATCATTTAAAATTGCTGTGTTTCTACTGAGACATAGATTAGCTTTTAAAATATATTGCATAAAAATATCATTTAAAGCATATGAAAATGTAATAAGTAGAGAACAATGCCTATATCATAAACTCTGAGAAATAAGAAAGAGCTCAGAGGCCAGTGGAGGAGAATAATGTCATGCTTCCTTTCCCCTTCAACTCATTTTAATAAACTAATGTTAATAGAGACCTGCTAAAACCAGGTATAGCATTAAGTGTTAGAGATGAGGTGGTTGATCTATCATAGTTCACGGGTATCAAGGAGCTTTCACTGTATTTTAAACATGAGAAATTGCCTTACGTTGTAACATCTGTTATACTATAAAAGGCCTATAATTAATATTAGATTCTTGAATACATGATGGTTGAGGGCTTGATAATGCCACAAAAATTATTGACAGCATTCAATATCCCTTTAATGTAATGTAATTCTAACAATATACCAGGGAGTGTGATAGTCAGTAGAGTTAAAATGGTTAGCAAAATAGATACAAGTTCTTTTTTCATGGAAATTAGAGTTTATTAAAGAAAATAAAATCAACCAAATATCACGTAAAATACCTATAATCTGTGAAAATTGTGTAATCCTGATTTCATTTATACCCTTGCAACAGTTTTAAATTTACAGAAGCTAAATTCCCTAAAATTATTTGAATTCAGGACTATATCTGGGTTTATTCTTTAGTACATAATGAACCACGAAAGCTTTCCTTTCTCCAAGGTTCACATTAAATATATGGAATTAAAGAGATGAAAATTAATCTAACATTTTTACAAAAAGCATTAGTGAATAGAGTAGAATTGATTCAATATTCACCAAGATATGGAAAATGGTTATACGGTTGTATATAATGCTGATTTTTCACGTGCCACTCATTTTTTCTTACCTTCATGCAAACACCTTACACCTTATGATTCTTAAAACACACGATAAATTTTGCACTTCATGACCATCCATAAATCACCTACATGTTTTTTTCTGAAACAGTCAAAAGATTTGCCTTTTATGTCTTTTCTTCCTTTTTCCATCATAAAAAAAAAAATTGATTTCTGTATTTCCAGGTACAAAAATTCTAATTTATTAGCTGGACTGGTAACAACAATCTAATCTCAAGAAGTATTTCTCTAGAGAATTTCCCTCTCAAAAAGGAATTCTAATGTCAGATAACAGAGTTAATAAAGTTTCCAATCCTGTAATACTGTAGGACCCTTTTCTTTCTGTTAAATATGTAATAAGGACAACTTACTACTTATGAAAGAAATATTTAGTTGTTTTCTGAAGTATGGTTAGATTTCAATCAGATACTGCATACTTATTTAAATTTATTTTGACATATACAACTCTTAAGAAGACTTGATATTTATTATACAAATCGTCATTATCAGGAAAGAAAAAACATGTAAGTGTAACTTCTTATCTTGAATTGAAGAAGTCCCAGCCCTCTGGTTTTTCTGATGTACTGACCACACCTAGGGTGTAAGTTTCATTTAAGGTATCAAACAACTTGCCAGAAACAGGATTCTGGGATTTCTACAAGCACCATGCAAACAGAAATCCTTCTAACCCAATGGCCATCCAAACTGAATGATTATTCCTCAGGTTGCATCTTCTGGGAGGCCTAATCCTTATGTAGGTTTTCCGGAACACTTACAGTCAAGAGAGTTATTAGTACTTAGGTAATATTTATGTGAATCTCCTAAGCCAAAATAAATACTGTGCATTATAGTTGCATATATCATGCTGTTAGCCCACAGAATTTAATATATACTTAGATAATAACAGTTTAGCTTCTGTTTAACACACACTGAAATCCGATCATTCTCTGAAAACCTTATTTCCTGTTCCATGCTGATTTTTCACGTGCCACTCACTTTTTCTTACAGCAATTGCTAAAATCTGACTTTGTAGAGACATGACATAGGCATTGGCACTGAGAGCTTAAGTTATAGCTGTGAAAAAGAAAAAAAGGTAGCCAAAAGAATTTCAGTCCTAATTGCACTTGCGTTATACATGGTATAGGGTGGACAGAAAATAATTTTTAAAAGTAAATTTTATTTTAGAAAGAGGTAGTTGTCTTTAAGAAGAATAAAGGACAAGAGAGGATGAGTTAAGTATATAGTACGATTTTGAATTGAGCAGTCGAGAAAAGCTTTTGAGAATAAGATATTTGGCAAATACTTGAAGATGAAAGATTGAATTGTTTCATGAAAGATTTTCTGGAGACAAAACACGCCCCCCTCACATTCGTATGTTAAAACCTAATACCCAATGTGGTGGTACTTGGAGATGAGCTTTTGGAGAGGTGATTAGATCATGATGGCAGAGCCTTATAAATGGGTTTTATGGTCGTAGAAAAGAGAGCTTCTGAGAGCTGTCTTGCCCCCTTTTACCTTGTGAGAACTAAACAGGAAGACAGCCATCTATGAATAAACAAGTGGGCTCTTACCAGACACTAAATCTACTGGGACCTTGAAATTCCCGATCTCCAGGACTATGAGACATAAATTTCTGTTTTTTCAAAAGCCACTCAGTGTATGACATTTTTCTATAAAAGCCTGAGTGTCCTATACATGGAGGAAAATAAAAGCAAAGATTATAAAGCAGGTAAAATCTGCCTGGTGAGCAAAAGAAACATCAAGACAGCCAGTATGACTGGTGGTAAGTGAGCCAAGTGCACACAGAAGAAATTGATTGGGACAAATAAGAAATGAGAGCTCAGGGTAAGGACTTTGATTTCTA